CAGTTTGGAGACCATTTTTCATGTTCGACCCAAGGATCATCCTCTACGTCCCAGTTCCGGAGAACAACACCACATTGAACACACTTGCAAGCGTCCCCTCTGATTAAGTACACAAATCCTGCCTGGGCCATTTGACTAGGACTCTGTTTCATCTGCACAGGCCAAGACTGAAAGGAATTGAGCCGTTCTTGGAACTGTGTTCGAGGTCTGAGAGGGATACTGTCCATACATAGGTACCCACCTAGATCATCATGACCATGAGGATACTCTGTCTCTATGTCCAAGATATTTTATGGATTAAACTTCTTCTTAATTTCTCTCACAACGTTTCGAGACCATTCCAGGTCCCTTCATCAGGTGAACTGGCAGTTAGGACTATGACGTCGTCACTATGACGTCATTACTGAGTTATGACGTCACAATGCAAGTGACATCACAGTACACTAGGGAGAGTACTGTATAAGTGAGTTAGTTACATAATGATGAAATTCAGGCTAAATAATAGAGTAGAAAGTTGAATTGTCAATACACAACAACTGCTAATTACACAAAGGTTACTTGATAGCAGGCTTTCCAAAAAGAATAGTAGACTCGTTTTTTCTTGTATCTAAAGTTCATCAAAAGTTCATCAAAAGTTAATCAAGAGGTCCCATGCACTTGGCAGGTATACACCCTGATCACGATTAATTGCTGGTTTATGTCTCCTTATCTCGACAGCTTCCTGTAGTTTTCTCCGACGCCAGTCATTGTTATTTCTCGAAATCACCCTAATATCATTCCACATGATTACATGACTTGGGTTATTTGCCTTGTGCTCCGATATAGCTGACTTATCATTTTGTTTGCATACTGATGACTTGTGTTCAGCAACCCGGGTGTTAATGGGCCGGGTTGCTGAACACAAGAATCATCAATATCTAAACAAAAAATAAATCAGCATATCGAGCCAAACAATCTAACAAATCATCGTAATCATGATAATGAGTGAAAACATTCGAAACTGGCGTCGGGCGCTTAAGGAACTGTCGAATCAGAAAGACTGCTTTGATAACAAATGGTAGTCTTCGCAAATTGTATTCCAGACATAGATTATGATGTGTATTAATGTAGCGGTTAATCTAAAGCCTTTATTGGAACACTGGCCAGACATTGTGGAGCACCCCTCTTGTACAGCATCCACATGTACGGGGGCACAAAGAATGGGTACCTTGTTCCATGTGAAGATTCGAACCTTAGTCTTCTGCCCAACGCTGTAACCACTTTGCTAGCCCATCGTCACTTAAGGAACCTACCGCGGTGGTCAGAAGATATATTCCCGTACTTTTGATGGGGATATTTTATATTGCCACTTAAGGAACGTGGCCAGAATGGAACCATGCAGATGGTTATAAACTGAGGGGCCAAAGAAACATCCCCGATCATTTTTGTATCATAAAATGATACAAACACGTGCAATTCAATGTTGAAATGTTTGATATAATTTTTGAACATATTATGCAGACTGTCATTACAGAACAATTGAAACAATTTCCTGTAAGTAGAGTTTTTGTGACGTTTTTCACAGGAGGTTCAAATGTCCGGTTTTCGATCATGACAACACATGCACATCAGTACTGACAGAGTGTCTTTGAGTGTCAAACTCCTCAGTAGCGAGTGTGTCCACCTCTTGCAGCGATACATGCTGCCACACGACGTCGTGCAGAGTGCACAAGACGTCTGATCGCGTGATGTGGGATGCGACGCCATTCTTCCTGTAGAGCATGAGCCAAAGCGTTTCTTGTCTGTGGGGGATGTTGACGTTGCTTAACCTGACGGCCGAGATGATCCCATAGGTGCTCAATAGGTGATAAATCGGGGATCTTGCTGGCCAAGGAATGACGTTCACGTTGTTGTTGTTCAGGAAGTTCGGGTAACAACAGCAGTGTGGGGAGTAGCGTTATCCTGCTGAAACAACAGCCTCGATTCTGCTGGAGGAAGGGTAACCACGACAGGTCGTAAAACAACATCAATGTATCGGCGGGCATTCAGGTTTCCCTCTATCACCAACAAGTCAGTCTTCCTCTCGCCACAAATTCCCCCCCCCACACCATCACACTACCGCCGCCAAACGTCTCAACTTCCTGAACGCAACAACGTGCTGTGCGTTCGTTCCGACGTCTGTAGACTCGTACCCGACCATCAGCTTTGTTCAGCTGGAGGCGGCTCTCGTCACTGAAGAGTACCCGGCGCCAGTTCGCGGCTGCCACTGCCGAACTCTCGTGCCCAAGCCAATCGACGACGTCGATGTTCACGCGATTAACGTCACGCCCGGAATGGTCTGTAGGCTCTGATACCGAATCGGCGGAGTCGTCTGGATATGGTCCTTCTACTGACTGGATGGGTAAGGCTGGTTGTTGCTGATGACGTCACAGTCAGGAATCTGTTGCGCAAATGAAGCACCCGTAAATGGCGGTCTTCCTGAGGGGTGGTTACGGGTGGTCTCCCTGTCCTAGGCCTGTCTGCAGTCCGACCTGTTGTTCTGAAGCGTGTCATCAGTCTGGTGATGGTTTTCTTGCTGCAACCCATGATTCTTGCAACGTGACTGTGAGAAGCACCCAGCTGCAACATCCCAATAGCTCGTTCTCTCTGTTCTGCCGTGAGTCGAGGCATGTTCTTTGTGTCCAACGTATTGAAGTGATGAATTCGAACAGTCGAGCATAATTTTTATACTGTACTTTCATACGGGTATGTTTCCACAGAAGCATGCAAAAAACGTGAATAAAAGCAATTTTCATGCTTACAAAACACTCCACGTAGATTTCCTTTCTGTGAGACGTGGGGATGCGTTCGGGAGATGTGTTCCTAAATAAATTTCCGTCATAACGAAAACAGAAGAAATGTTTTTTACAATTTTACTTTGGGGACGTTTCTTTTGCCCCTCAGTTTAGAACTGTCACAGTGCCACAAGAACGCACTTTAGCTACACTAGCTACCTTTGGTAGGAATTATCCTTCCAAGATACCCAAAACTGATTATGATGACATGTCAAGCAAATATTTAAGCACAACGACCTATCGGACTACCCCTGTCAAAACGTGCGTAGTGTACAATAAGATAGGGATGACAAGGCTTTATGGATGATCAACTTCTTATTTTAACAATGACGACGTTTCGGTATAGATTTTTATACCAAAGGTAGCTAGTGTAGCTAAAGCATGCTTGAAAATGGTATAAGAATCTATACCGAAACGTCGCCATTGTTAAAATAAAGAAGTTGATCATCCATAAAGCCTTGTCATCCCTATCTTATTGTACACTACGCACGTTTTGACAGGGGTAGTCCGATAGGTCGTTGTGCTTAAATATTTGCTTGACATGTCATCATAATCAGTTTTGGGTATCTTGGAAGGATAATTCCTACCAAAGGTAGCTAGTGTAGCTAAAGTGCGTTCTTGTGGCACTGTGACAGTTCTATAACTATCTGCATGGTTCCATTCTGGCCACGTTCCTTAAGTGGCAATATAAAATATCCCCATCAAAAGTACGGGAATATATCTTCTGACCACGCGGTAGGTTCCTTAAGTGGCGATGGGCTAGCAAAGTGGTTACAGCGTTGGGCAGAAGACTAAGGTTCGAATCTTCACATGGAACAAGGTACCCATTCTTTGTGCCCCCGTACATGTGGATGCTGTACAAGAGGGGTGCTCCACAATGTCTGGCCAGTGTTCCAATAAAGGCTTTAGATTAACCGCTACATTAATACACATCATAATCTATGTCTGGAATACAATTTGCGAAGACTACCATTTGTTACGTTAGTGTAAATTATGCCAAACAATGCGGTAGTTTTTTTTGTTGTTGTACACATTAAGTAGAAATTCACACCACTGTGTTGTAACAATAATTAGTTTTCAGGAACGTATTATTATATAATGTCAGCTGCGTGGACGTTTTTGTAGCCCAATGTTTTGGGGTCAAGAGTAACCTGGAAACTTCTAAAACAGCTATACTCTAATCCAACAGATATGAAACTAGAGGGTATGAAGACTATATAAGTGGAAAGGTGCATGTCCCTTCGCTTAGCATTGCAACAAGTCCTGCGGTTGTATTACGATCGTTATTTCACCCTGAGTATCAAGTTTAGGCCTTTGTGCAACTTGACCATCGCGTACTGGATTTCTAATTAATAACGTGTGTTGTTAACTCCTCATGCCTTGTTAATCCTATTTATTCTTACATATACATCAAACGGACTCAACTCTTCAAATTCATCTGATGTGTAAACACCAATCTATCATCATTTATACTTGTATAGACGTCAATTATCCTCAAGTAAGTCACCTTCCTAATTCATATTTCTGTACATCATACACTTGATAACCGCCATTGTATCTAGCCTGAAACGTCGCATTCATTAAATAAAGAAGTGGTACATCAATGGAATTATGTCCCCTGTCGATATTGTACCATTACTCATACTATTGTATTATGTACTGCCATTGAATGTAATGTCACTGTGTAGTGCACTGTCGCTGAACCTACTTCGCCGTAATGCGTATTGATTTGTAAATCTAGTTAATTATATAATAGATTTGTTAATATATAGTTTTTCTTTATAATTTATTGGTTTCACATTTTGGACGTACAGTTTCTGGGTTAACGTACTGTTTGCTACTGGAAGTCGACAAGTGACACAATTAGCCAGAGAAAATATATGTTGTAGACAGGTTGAAATAGACGAAAAATGACGTCATCATCGAACACCTGGCTGACCTCATTTCACAGGGGTGTCAATGACCTGGTACTGAGCTGACCTTGGGATAAACCACTTTCCCAGAGGTGCATAGCAACCGAAAGAGAATGACATCATGGCATACGGATAGATCAACTGGTTTAATCCGGTTTGGGATGAAAATATAGAAACCCCTTCATTTCGGATCATGCATCACTTCATCCCTGACTACACAGACGACATCCAGCTATACAACTCTCTCTCTCTCTGTTGGCTGTTTATCTTGAAGATGGAAGCCGTTCACCGTGATATCCTGAGGAAGAATCACTCCTGTCTAGTGCAAGCTATAAAGCACGTAGAAGAGGTGGTGGACAAACTGGTACAGTTTGAAGTCCTTACCATCTTCATGAAGGCAGAGATTATCGAAAAACCACGGACGTTCTTTGACCGGGTGAGAGCTTTATTAGATACCCTTCCCCGGCGAGGACCCCAAGCTTACACACTCTTCTGCAAAGCATTGGAGGAATGCGGAGAGATACAAGCCATGACATTGCTGGGACTAGAGACAGAGTATCCTCATGGTCATGATGATCTAGGTGGGTACCTATGTATGGACAGTATCCCTCTCAGACCTCGAACACAGTTCAAGAGCGGCTCAATTCCTTTCAGTCTTGGCCTGTGCAGATGAAACAGAGTCCTAGTCAAATGGCCCAGGCAGGATTTTGTGTACTTAATCAGAGGGACGCTTGCAAGTGTGTTCAATGTGGTGTTGTTCTCGGAACTTGGACGTAGAGAGGATGATCCTTGGGTCGAACATGAAAAATTGTCTCCAAACTGTCCGTATTTGGCCCTGGTAGGAGTACCTCAGAAGAGGTGGTCCGTTGGGGGTAGTCGTGTAGATTTACATGTGTAGAGTGTGGTTTCATTGTACAATTCTGTGTGTATTTGAGACTATTCGAGAATAAATCAATTTTGGCTGTCATTGGTTGATGTGGTGTATAAAAGTCCTAACAAAAGGTAGGTGAAGGAGAGCAGAGTGGCACAGTGGGCGCTGGGCTCGGGCTCATAACCCAGAAGGACCGTGGATCGAAACCACGCTCTGCTAACAACATGTTTTTAGGAGTTAGAATTAGGGCTAGCAGACATCTAGGACGGACTTCTGTTTGAGACTGGAATACCACGTCTCACCCAGAGAGGAAGTCGAGTTTCGTTTAGCTTTTTCGAGGTGTCAAGATACTCGTACGAGAAAAATCCCTATTTCTCTTGCACTCCAAACACTTTCAAAAACTGAGAATAACTCGTTCCGGGAGAGAGATATTGCGTGACGTCAAGAAATTTGAAACTTTGATTACTTTGACACAAGTAAGCATTGTTTTTTTGACGTTGAAAGCCTGAGATTCGTCGTCGAGAGAGAGATGTTTGGGAAGTTTCTCCTTAATGATATTCAGGTTGTAACGAGCTGAATTAAATCCGAGGACGGCGACTTGAGAACAGTATCCCAGAAGCTTCCCGCAGTGATCGCTCACATGCTTTCTCCACTTAGTCTCGGGTGTAGAATGTGCGCGAGTAGGTTTACCTTGGGTGGGGTGGTTGTCACCCTCCATGACGTTGTGAGCATCATCATCATCATCATCACCACCACCATTGTCAGGCAACGACTTTATCATATCGCGCAAGGTTTCTAACACCTCTTTATATTTTGCTTTGGCTAGCTTGTTTACAGCTTTGCCCATTTCCGTCATGTATTCCCACATGGCTGCAATCAATCGATCCGGATCGGAATCGACGATGCAGTGTGGTGAAGTCAAACACGGTCTTTGGGGTGTGGTGGAAACCACCCGGGAACCGCAAAGTCGTTTGACCTGTGCAACGACGTTGGTGTTCGTTGCATTTGTTTTGACGCCTGAAGAGACGTTCGCACATGGGACACTGGTAGCGTTTACAATAGATGGTCATGTCGGTGATGAGGGACAAATGATTTTCGAATTGATTTAAATGCATGTGTTCCTGATACAACCCTCGAGATTTATACACGAGTTGAGCTACTCCCGTCACGTCAAGAGTGAACATGCTCACATTCACACGGAAACAGGCTTCAAAGTGAGGTAAGAGAGCTGGGTCGAGACCTTTATACTCTTCGGGACCAATCTTATAGAAAGAGTGGAGATGATGGTCCCGACAGTACATGACCCACTGATAGTAAAGAGCTTTGGTAGGCTTTTCTAAAGCACCCCGACTTGTAGGATCTCGATGCAATGCCAAACACCGGAAAGCGCATAAGTGATCCTTATAAAGTTGTTTAGTCTTCTTGTTATAATCTAAAGAAAGGATAGTTTTATGATTTTTAATATATTCGGGGAGAGGGGCTGGAGGGTGGCCGAGCGGAAAATTTGTTCTGTAAATAAAGAAATTCACATTGGTAATCAAAACAGGTTTCCATTTGGTATCAGGGCGTTGTTTGAGGATTAAAGACATGACATCTGAGCTTTCCAGTCTCTGGTGTAACCGTTCGAGATCCTCCAACTCGGTGATATAGAGAGGACTAGTAAAGAGAGGATCGACAGCGTAAGGATGGAAATAGCGATAGCGTCCGTCTCCACGTGCCGTAGGATGACACCGAACGCTAAATTCATCCTAAAACTATGATTTAACGATTGATAGATATCCCTAGCGCGTTCCATCAACTCACCTATGGAAAAGTTGTTGTTAAGGGGGAGGTTGTAGATTGAAAACACCTCGGCGGGTTGGTCCCGTGCGAGGATAAATGGAGCGTCCAGGTCATAGGCTTCCTGGAGTCCGGGCTCCGTCACCTCGCCAGTGCTCTCGTCTACCCACGGGGGTGGACCTTCTCCCCATGGGCGTGGTTGGAGCTCACTAACAGCAGCATCGGTATCCATACTCCCGCCGGACTGCTTTGATAGGATACGGTGTCCCTCTATCATCTGATGACGGTAGAGAGACAACCGATCCTCGAAACGCCTATGACATATCCGGCAGGTACAACCATTCGATGCTGCGACGCCGCGGGAAGACGAGGGAGTTGGTGATAGAGAAAAAATTCAATGTATGAATACTAAGTCTCATATAACAGCATCATTCACTCACTACGAGCTCTTATGCTTCAAATAAAACTCATGACTAACACATGGTATAATACTTTCTAAAGCGAATACATATTAACACTATGACGAACTGAATTAATACATAATTCAACAATTTATTGAAAACATTCCCCGGCCGATGCTATCTACAAACACATCTCACACACACACGCACGCACGCACGCACACACACACACACACACACACACACATTGAAACCCTATGCGGTACGAACTTCGGTAATACTAACCATCGTACATGGACGAATGAAGTGACAGAGAGATATAATAGAGCTTACCCCCACTAACCGGCACTCCTCTCGAGGTAGACGGGCGTGCGTGAACATCTGTTTGCGTAGTTGTGCCTGTAAATATACATCATTATCTGTACATACTAAACTAAAACACACTCGAAAATACACGGAAGCAGTACATAGACAAGATTAATGTCGGAGATGAACATAAACTCATCGGATGAATGAACGCGCCAAAAATGCACGCCCAGCTCACGGGGAGAAGGGAACACCTCGGGGCATTTCTGTATATAGAAGTAACATTTTAAGCAAAATGCTCTGAATTTATGGGGAAGTTTGTCGCTATGTCGCTGTAACATTTAACTTTACTGATGATAACCACTGCGATACTATGTCAAAGTAACATTTGAAACTGTAGACAACATTGCTCACGTCTATAAAATATACACCTTATGAAACAGTCGGTTAAAGACATAGGAAGATAATATATCTACATATGATCAAATATATCTGATGATATTATAGCAGACAGAAGCGAGAACTTACACATAAATAATAAACACTACTCACGCTACATCGATATTCCGATAGCCGTTGTTGCGACAAGGCACATTTGTGTTGCTTCAGTTTGTGATTTGAAGCAAAAGATTTTGTGCATGGAAAGCAAACGTAACGTTCTCCCTGGTGGACTGATCGCACATGGCCGCAAAGGTTATCTTTTCTATTAAAACCTTTCCCGCACTGCAGGCAGGTAAATTGTCTGAAAGACATAACGTTTCTTTCAATTCACGCTAGAGTTACAAAAATTGTTTCTACATGATTTCATAAACTTGGTCATGAAACTCATAATTACTATACTAACATATACCCTTTTATTGAAATCAAAACATTTGTTAGCTGTAGCATTCTCATTTATAAAAATTAAATAGTGAGACCTCATTAAGAAGTATACTTACGCGTTTGTTGAGTCCATGTTCAGACTGGTCACGTAAAAGTTGATGAATTTTCGCTCGCTGTTGAAACTAAAATAACGCTCTGGTGTGCAGATGATGTCTATATAGGATATTTTACGAATAATGATTGACAAATAGTAACTATCCATTCAACGCGCCTGTGTATCTAACTGTAGACATGACTGACAGATTGGGATAGGGACCACCCATGTATGATCACACGGGAAAAGACATTGAACCTTTTCCTTCACAGCCCTCAGTTCACACACCGAAAGGTACACACACCTGCCTGTTGCATTGACTGTTCAGTCATGCATGTCGTCCTCCTTGAGTACTGAGTATACTTCGTGAAACTATGGTTTTCAGTCTGATTACGTTACTTGGAATGTGATGCCATCTACAATTCTAACCGTAATTCGTTACTTTTCAAACACCTACACTTATATTTTCCGAGCATAATCCTTAATTTAGGTTGAAGTAAAATGTATTTATCATTATATTGTATGATGTTTCCAACGTCTAAATTCCCTAAACTAGGTTCTCTCTTCGAATGAAGGGTAATTATTGTTAAACACGTTGCTCACCCCTAAATTTTCTTAAAGATTGAAAATTCTGTCTCTTTCCCAACAAACCTAGCTGCATGCTGTCGCACTGCTACATGTTTCATCGTTTGTTTTGTTTGTTTGTTTTTTGTTTGTTTGTTTTTTTGTTTGTTTGTTTTGGTTTTTTGTTTGTTTTTTGTTTGTTTGGTTTTTTATGCTTCCATCCATGTGTATTTCAAGCCTCTTATTTCTAATTGGATACATAGTTTCATATACACAAACGCTACAGTTTATTTGTTTCATAAGCTTACATTTGCAGGGAAAGAAGAAAAACTCGCGTGAAATAACGTTTAAACATCGGCTTCAAGTCGGCACAGGGCTGAATAATTCAGCGCCTTCTTTACAAAGGGTGAACAATAGTCCAACGCTTTGCCCAGCGCGGGCTATTTGACGGTGATCACGTGACTTGGATCAGCCAATACATTTCCCTCCACCTTGCCTCCACCAAATACTACTGTTTCAATAAGCAGATTCCTTGACTCTACATTTCTATTTCTTTCGTCTCTCTCCAAATGACGTGAATTTCATGGTATTATACGTGTGCTATATGATATTGATATGCTTCCATCCATGTGTATTTCAAGCCTCTTATTTCAAACATATCGCTGTCAAGTAAAACTAAAACTGTATCCATTAGTGTATATGGCTCAAAATCATTTATTTCTCATCACGCTATATTTGGTTGGAAAAAAACAAACTAGTATGAAATAACATATAAACCTACACCAACTTTCCATTACTTTGATGGTGTTATACTTGTACAGGACGCGTTCTGTATG